AATCCCCAAGCTCACCACACCCCCTAACTTGCCTCTTTTGCTTTTGAATCTCCTCCTTCTTCTTGTATTTATATGGACCCTATTCAGTACGCATGTCTATGATGAGAAAGAAGTTTAAGAAATCAGAATTGCATTTTCTAGATTTAGGAGGTTTTAGTACCCCTCTATATTAATGAATTTTAAGAACAGATTACTTGTGGATGTTGTTGCAGGTTCCATGGAAATGTTAAATGGTTAGATAAACTTCTTTAGCACAACACTTGATTTGTAGCAGTTCTGTGGATCAAGCTACTGTTTCTGTGGCTGAGTCTCTATCCTATTTTAGCTGATTATTACTTCATGAGATAATCGTCTTTGGTGGAAACTTTGGCTTCACTCTGGGGAAATCTCCTTTGGCAATATAAATTTAGTGAAAGAACAGAACTTTCAGAGCTGGCATATATATTTATATTTGAAGACTCAGTTCTGTAGGAAATCTCCATTTGGAAGTTTCCTTCCGTATAAACTTCAGTTCATTCGGGCAAATCTCTGTTGGCATTAGAGTCAGAATATATCCTCTTTAGGATACTGACTCATTATCTATTCTCAAACACAGTTGTATCATCTGGAATATATAACTCAGCTTCCTAATAAAGAATAATCTACTACTGTATAAATACTCCTTTTTTTAGGCATTTAATTATGGATGTTTTCCTTACTGATTCTGATTGGGAGAGTGAAAGTGGTAGTGAGGAGCAGGATTATGACTTTCTCTATGGTGGCCAGGCTCAGATCATATTGTCAAGACTGGAGGAGAGCATTAGTAAAATTGATGATTTCCTCTCATTTGAAAGGGAATTTGCTTATGGGGACATTGTTAGCTCTGTAACAGACCCAGCAGGACAGACAGGAAGGGTAATCAATATTGATATGTTTGTGGATCTTGAGAATGTCCACGGGAATGTATTTAAAGATGTTAATTCCAAGAAGCTTTTGAAGATCCGCTCCTTCTCAGTAGGGGATTATGTGGTTCATAAAACATGGATTGGAAGGGTGGAGAAAGTAGTTGACTGCCTCTCTATTGTCTTTGATGATGGATCAAAGTGTGAAATGACTGTTGTGGATCCAGAGAAGGTGGTGCCTATTTCTCCCAACTTACTTGATGATTCAGATTACTTCTATTATCCAGGACAGAGGGTTCATGTGCTCCCAGATGTTTCGAAATCAGCTAGATGGTTATGTAGTTATTGGAGCAGAAGTCAAGATGAAGGAACTGTTTCTGGCGTGGATGCAGGTTTGGTTTTTGTTGATTGGATTGCATCTGCTCGAATTGGTTGTGACATGAGTGCATCTCCTCCCTCATGTTTGCAGGACCCAAACAACTTGACTTTATTGTCCTGTTTTTCCCATGCAAACTGGCAGCTGGGTGACTGGTGCATACTTCCACTTGCTGAGCACAAGGAGATAATGGAGCAAGTTTTTCTTCATGCACCAGTGCATGGTATGGTTAATGATCAGAATAAAATGGAACGAGGATTTAAGAGAGGAAATGTTGGTTCAAAATTGGAAGAAATATTCACTATCGTGAAGATAAGGACAAGGGTTGATGTGGCATGGCAGGATGGTAGCTGTAATTTGGGATTAGATTCACGGAACTTACTCCCTGTAGATGTTGTTAATCCTCATGAATTTTGGCCTGGACAGTTTGTCCTGGAGAAGGGCACTTGTGAAAATAGTAAAAGATGGGGTGTTGTGTGGCGTGTTGATGCGAAGGAAAGGACAGTCATGGTTCACTGGATGAACACATTTGTGAATGAAGCAAAGGGTTTTGATGTGAAGCAGGACGAAACTGTGAGTGCTTTTGAACTTGTTGAGCACCCAGATTACTCGTTCTGTTTTGGTGATGTTGTATTTAGGGTGGCTGAGAGTGGCCTCAGTGATCAAGCTGGTAAAGGTCATGTAATTTCAGAAACAGGTTTGGATGCAGAAGCTACTTTCAAGGGCAAGATCTGTGGCAGCAATCACAACGGATGCCCTAGCCTGTGTTATTTATCTTGCATTGGTATCATTACAGGTTTTGAAGATGGTAATGTGGAGGTGAAATGGGCAACTGGCTTTTCAACAAAGGTGCGGACCTTACTCATTATTATTATTATTATTTATATCATTATTTTTGTGATTGGAATTAAATGAACTCACTTCTCTTTTGCTAAAAGTTAGTAACTATGGGTACATCTTTGAATTGATTATCCAACTTTCTTGCAGGTTGCACCTTATGAAATTTTTCGGTTGGAGAAAAATAAAGGTTCAGCCACAAACCCTGTTCTCTTAGAAGAAAACTTGGACAAGTTAAATCAAGAGACGATTGCACGTGAGAAAGAATATCATAGCCAGAAAGAGAAGGTAGATTAAGTTTGCCCTCCCTTCCTCTCCCCAACACTGATGCAAACACACATGGGTTTATAAGTACAGATAAGTTTGTATTTTAATGGCAGTCTTAAGTACAGTGAAACTGCTAGTAGATATGATGGCTTGTCAAAATCAAGGGAGGCTGGGATTTATTTGTCAAGATTTTGTGCAAAATATGCAGGATGATATTAGAAGTATTGTTTTTATAGAGAAGGCAAATAGAAATATTGTTGGTTGAACAAATGCCAAATTTTTTGTCTGCAACTAAAATCAGAATTACCATGACTTCTCTATTAGTAAGCAATTTATAGATTCTAAATAAAAACTGGGGAAAAGGATCAGTTCTAAATTTAAATAAGATCTAAATAAGCTGTCCATGCGCTTAAGCAGAGTATTAGAAGTCAATCTCACAAGGTTGATCAAATGTGCTTGAAAGCCAAGCTTGGGATCAGTTTATAGGATACTGTTGATGAAATTTTATGTTTTATCACCCTAGGAACAATTAAGTTTACGTATTTGTGTCTTCTCCAAAATGAAAGAATGAATCAAGTATATTTATTGAATCAAGCGTAGTTGCTGAGGAAAATGTTTGTTTCATCTAAGTTTTTCTTTTCCATACTGACTTGCATTTGTATGATTTAGAATTTGGTGAATCATGAAGCTGCTGGTGAAAAAAGCAAAATGAAGTCTTGGGGCTCTAATTGCTTTTTCCTTCCTCAAGTTGCCATTGCATTCTTCACAAGCATTGCTTCTAGCCTCCTTGGAACCCTTGGTTCCACATCTGGTCACGTTTCTGCTGACAGAAAAGAATATGGAATTCTCTTTGAGAAAGAAACACTGGAAGCTCGCAATCTTTGTGTTGAGCCAGATCCATGTGACTCAAAGCAGGAGGAAGTTGAAGAGAATGGTGAAAACAATTGTATTATGTTTTCAAGAGAAGCTGAGAACACAGATCAGTTTAGGCAGTTTGATATTGTTAGTGATTGCTCTGACCACCACTTTCTTGGCGAAAGCAAGGTGCTGCTGCCATCTCAGGTTAGATATTTTCCTCATTCATCCTTTGAAGTTCCAGTGAATTTCTTCAGATGGTCAGGATGATCAATTTTCGTTTTCCCTAACTCCCCTTACAGATGAAAAGAAGTTGGCTGAAGAAGATTCGGGAAGAATGGAGCATTCTAGAGAAAACTCTTCCTGGTTAGCACTATATCTTCTTGATTACAATACTTCTTTAATGAAGAATTATGCTTTTACACCCAGCGGATGTATGCTAAAATATTTTAAAGCTGTACTCACTGGCTATTGCTTGACAAGCATATTGCTGACATGAACAGAAACTGTCTATGTCCGCATCTATGAGGAAAGAATGGATCTCCTACGAGCGGCTCTCGTTGGTGCACCTGGAACTCCCTACCATGATGGGCTGTTCTTTTTCGACATCTTTCTTCCTCCTGAGTATCCTAGCAAACCACCTGTAAGTTTTTTTATGTGTTGTTATTAGTTTATTAATTATTAAACCAGATATTAATGATACATATGACTCACCAAAGTTATATTCTGGAAACAATTTTATGCAGCTGGTATACTACCATTCAGGTGGCCTATGCCTCAACCCAAACTTGTATGAATCTGGAAAGATTTGCCTCAGCCTTCTAAACACTTGGACAGGTTCAGGAACTGAA